GCTCCAGTGCCAGGGCGCTGTCTTGGTCAAAGGAGCCATAAACAACTGGTGGATGCCATTGCACGGCCGAGTTTCGTGCCCAATCTAGCTTCACGTATTTTGTGTGCGATCTCGGCGGGAATCGTCGTTTTGCGAGGGGATCCAGATCTCTGGCAGCGGCTGGTCCACGGGGTGCCAACGAGGCCGTGGGTTGGCCGCGCATCCAGCCACATGTGCACCGCCATTGGCACTTGGTTGCTGATAGCGAGTACATAAGGTTTTGTTAGGAAGATCAAACGCCGCAGCCACTATCAAGCCCAGCTGCCGCTTCCGATCGTGTATCCGAGGCGCGCTAGTTATTGGTGGTTGGATTAGTAGTGTAGATTGCCAGCCAATCACTTTCTAGCTCTCCGTCCGCGAAGCAGACTGATGGTGGAGATTCGATAACGGACAATCCAAGTGGACGAATACGTCAGCAGTGATTGGTTGCCAACTTCACCTTGACTCCACCTCGATCAAAGGTTCCTGACGTCGACCAACGACAAACGCCTTCGACTGTCTGTGGCGACAAGCCTCACCTGAAAACTCTGTTTTATTTCAGCCCGCCACAAGCCGGACCACCGTCCAAAATCGGCCTTAGATTTTCCCTACCATTGGCTCGGATCCGACTGGCGTGTGCTTCTTGCCGTTCTTGGTCACTCTCGGTCTGGGCCTGTTCGGTTGTTCGGCAGGGGTTGGGGTCAGCTCAACACTTTCCTCGGACTCTAACCACTGAAGATCGATCATTTACGGCCCGTAAGCATGCCCCGTAAGCATCCCCCTGTATGATGCAGCCTGGACTGGCGCCTCCCAACTGAAGTTCTTCCCCCAGAGGCTGTTGCGTTGCGACCCGACGCAGTTATATGAGGTGGAAATGCCGCTGGTCGTCAGGAGTCCACCTGACTTGGAACTTCCTTCAAAATCTTCCGCTGACTAACACAGGATGTCGACCGTTCAAGACCTGTTCGAGCAGTACTCGGGTCAGATCGTTCCGTTTTCGTTCCACGCCGGGTTCGTTAGCCTGAGTTACGTTGTCAGTCTGGTTGGGGCCGGTTCGACGCTAGAGTTAATCAGTCGACGGACTTCTCACAAGGGCATTCATAACCAGTATGGCCCTATATTCAGACAATAGCTGGTGCAACTGGTTAACTCCGAAACAGAATCTTGCTAGCCGGTGCCGCCATTTCTATGGGAGGGATTGCAATATGGTCTATGGTTGTTGACCAGTTGCCGCCTTTGAGCTCGCGAACCCGCCTGCTGACACTCATGATAGCACTTCATCGGAAACAGAGCAATCTATATTCTTGACGGAGAAGACGAGCTCCAAATCGCCTACTCTACCCGGTTGACCATTCTCTCGCTATTCGTGCCTATTCTCGTGCTGCTACTTGCCTTCCTCGTCGTTAGCAGCAACGATCGCATGCGCTGGTGGCGTATCGGTTTATCAGGCTCACTATCCGGCCTTGCCATCTGTGGTATGCACTATCTCGGCAATGCTTCTATTAACAACTACCGCTGTAGCTACCAAACTGCCTATGTCGTCGCCGCAGCGCTGATCGCGGTTGCTGCGAGCACTGCAGCACTGGCGCTATTCTTTGTCTTCCAGGCTGCTTGGACGAACGCGTGGTGGAGGAGGACCGGATGTGCCATGGTGCTCGCGGGGGCTGTGTCCGGGATGCACTGGTGTGCCGCCGCTGGGACGAGGTATACGTTGTTGCACCTATATTCCCCCAGAAACGGGATGTCCCGCGATGCCACTATCATCGTGGTTATCTGCCTAGTTAGTATTCTCCATCAAGTCAGGCTCAGAAGTCTAAGATTAGTCAGTCCGTCGGAGCATTTGTTGTTATGGCCACTAGTTGGATCTACTCTGCCTGGATCAGAAGGAGCTATGCCAGTAAAGCACAGCAGATCGTCCTCGCTGCGGCTGTGTTCGATAAGCGAGGAAGAATATTGGTCAGCCAAGAAGGGTTGCTACCAAGTGAGGTGGTAACAGATACATTCCTGCAGAAGGTAAGTAGGCAGCTCCTTTGGTACTTGAAGCTCCGAGGTTAATAAACCACAACAGTCAAACAACGATGTCTTCGGCACGACCCACCCGCTCTTCCATTGGATGTTCCGAGCATCTCGAAACTGGTCGAGCATCACAAATATTATCGACCGCATGACCAACCATATCGGCTATCTTTCGCATAGCAGGCGCAATAACAGAACTGGAATCAAGCTGATGGGCGAGGATGGTCAGCCAATCGAAAATTACGATGTCATTTTTCGTGAACTCTTTTGTCTCGCAGCCGTTGCGCTCGCGTCCAAGATAAAGGAGAATCTCTTAGGTGCTGGCATTCTGTGGGACGAGATCTTCGCAACCGGTAGCACTTCGAAACCTGTGTGTCGACCGCAGATGGAACTCAATGTTACCGGCAATTCCGACCCATCTCTCCAGAATACCAACGTCTCTAAGGAGAGACTAGAACCGGATGATCTGGTCGAGAAAGGAGACAACCGACGATACCAGGAAAACGGTCGGGGGTCTCTTATGTTTCTAGTACGCCATGTCGACAGCAGACGCGACGTCGAAAAACTCGAAACTGCGGGGTACCGGTTTGCCGAGTTGCACCAGGTGGTTGGCATCATCCACTCGAGCATGAAGATCAAAACCCCAGACCTCGGAGGAAGCCTGCGCAATATGGCTACTCATTCGGAGAACAACACTATACTCACTCCTGGAGTCTATCTCAGTATCTTTGCCGTCCGTGCTCGGTTGGGCCACCATGGGTTTGATGTGCTGGTTCAAAAGAACGCTAGGAACCTGCTCCCGGCTACGAAGCTGCCGTTGGAATATCTCGAGCGATGGCAGATTGGATTCCTCAGCCACCTTCAGCGCTTGACTCCCTCGACTCTTACACATAAGCTAAACAACATGAAAAGCCGCTCTGCCCAGGAAACCCGATTTATATCCGAGCTCCGCGACGCAATAGTTGCACTCAGGGGATGGTTCGACGACGCCACATTCGACGATGCAACGCTCATGTCCAAGGTCGTCCAGGTGCCTTGTTCTCCGCTCGAAGGGAACTCTAGGCCGCCCGCATGCTCTCTCATCACATTTCGGCTGGTGCTTCCAATTCACGCCAGCGTCAACTTGCCAAGGTGCGAATTCAGCCCCCTCCAGTTCTTCAAGATCCGTCAGCTAGTGTATGAGGGTTCGCCACACCATGTTGCCTTCTCGCGCTCTGTACACCGCGAGCTGTCGTCTGTCTTGCATCACGCGCCTGTGGAGCCATCGTTTGGGTCGGGAGGCCCAAGATCCCGCGGAGGTCGCGAGGCATCCCCTCGGCGATGGCTGGCGAGGTTTGGTAAATCTACGACCAGTGGTCGCGCTGACAACAACACCCGGGAAATCCTCACGGCGAGCCAGGAGCAGCTGTGGACTGTGGCGTCTAACCCTGGCTCGTCCCGCAACCCAGGTGGCGCGAGTAGTGTTGATCGCGACCAGAAGCCGCCGTCGATTGGCCATGCCGTTACGTTTGATGACCCGATGACTCATCCCATCAAGCGCCAGCAACTATACGGCGGCATCATGGTCTCGCAGGAAATCATGGTCGACGTTCAGGAGGTAAGTCGCTCAGTGAACGCACGTGGGGCACACGCAAGGCGGAAGCAAGGATGCTAATAATTGAGTCATTGCAGAAGAGTACAGGTGATACGAACATTGTTGCGATGAGAAACAGCAAGATGATTGATGATAGAACTGAAATTTCCGTGGCGCCGATAGACGTAGAGGATGCCACTGCCTGGCCGGTGAACTTTTATCCCGGTGTCCCGGGTAGGGCATTCAATATTGGGGCAGAAAAGGAGGAAGGCAAGTCAACATTTGTAGATGAGCTACTTGCACTTTGTATGGACAAACAGCTATGATGGGTGACTTTAGGATAGATTCTGTTGAAGGGATCGACGGGATAATTATGGAGGACTTTGTTGGATTTGCAGGTTTGGAAAATGGCGTTGACAGCAGAGTGTATCCGCTTAAAAATGACATCTTATGCGACCCAACAGATCGACCCGGACTTTGATCGGCAAGAACCAATGAAGAAAAGGAAACCTCAATGTCGCGCAGGTGGTTGGAGCGTCCTTTCTCGTTTGCCCCAAATCTCAAAGAAGACGGCGATATCTTTACATCAGCAACCGTTGGCCCATCAGGCCGCCTTACGATATGTGTAAATTCATGCGAACCTTGCACAGCGCTTTGTATCCGCCCCTCCATCTCCCGAACCCGTCTGACAGACCAAGGCAAGAATGACGCGTCTTGTGGTGGCATTCATGACTGAATGGCAGGGAGAGCAATATTAATTCTAGGCCCTCGATATGACCAACCCCAAGCCCCTGCCTGCGGGTCATCCCCCCGTAGAGCAGGGTGCCGACTCAGACCAAGTGTGGGAGCGCTGTTGTTTGCCGCACTTACTTTAATTATGTCTGGGTATGCCGTAATGCTTGGGAAAGCCTTGTCCAGGGCAATGTAAGGGGCCGTATCAACACTTGTAGCTAACACACTACTTTCCTGTCCAAAAATACCGCAAAATAGGTAGGTAGCTCCAGCCCAAACTGCTGTCAGTTGCTGAAGAGTGAGTTCGCCTACAGTACCTCAAAAGCCAGCTGACGCCACCAAGCGTTAGCTCCGCGTAGCCGGATAATGGAGAAATGATTAAGTTGACGGAGAAACATACCCATCTATGGCACGTATGAATATGGCAGAAAGGTACACGCTTAAAAAGGGGCTTCTAATCAGCGGAAGAATTCGGCAGTAGAAATGGCCTCGGCCTCTGCGCGGAAATTCGAGCTGGGGGGGAGCCGGTTCAAAGCGACAGATGTTAGCAAAGATAATAGGTTGAAATACATAGCCGGAGGGATTCATAGGTTCAGTCTGAGAGTGTCGTTTAAGCCGGAGTAGACATCTAACTTGAGAATATCACCCTAGGAATCTATGACTAAGAAGAACCGTATTTCTTAAAGAAATCTTCCACTGACATCGGCTCCAACTCTGGAAACCGATCATTCAAAAAACTTCCGTTCAAGTCCAGCCAGCCATTCACCATAGCAAGCCCAGCAGTTTGGTATATTCTGTCAATCATAGCCTTCGGTAAGAAGGCATACCGCTGGACGTTCACCAGCAGTTCAGTACTCTTGCCGGCTTTGAGATCTGCGACCGTGTCATACGAGACGTTGAATTTGCAACCTGTGCCAATCAGTAAAGGGCCGCGACCATGTGACACATTTGGAAAAAGAAGAGCCAACCTTTAGCGCTCTCAGCGAAAGCGACCAGCGCATTTAGGGTGAGCCTGTCTCCGCGGATGACTGAAGCCTCTGGCCACTCCACAAGGTCCAAAGAAGCTGCGACAAATCGAGCTACATCTGTGCTGTGCGTGAGGACGACAGGGTTATTGCCATCACCAGGCACAGCTGCCTTGCGGTTTTCGTGATCAACAACAAGAGATATGACGTTCAATCGCGTGGGTGCCTGGGGAGGCCCGAAGTAGTCCATGAACGTCCCATTGATGAAACGGGTATACTCCATTGTAGGAACGTCGCGGAGTTTGTTTATAGCTGCTACCTTGTACTCAGTCGACGGGAATGGGTAGTTGCTATGTTGGCGAAATTAGCTGCTGCAACCTGATCTTGGGGTAGAGGGAATAATACGCCTTGCTCGCTACCATGTAATCGATTCCAAACTCGCTAGGGGCAAATCTGCGCACAGTGGTTGACTTCACGGCTCCCTCAATGAGGTTCAGCTGGGCGTGGCTATCCTTTTCAGTGTTCATGGTAAGACATGAAACCATGGTGTCGATTACATTGTCTTTTAGCACATCCGCAATATTATCCGGGGATGAATAGTCGACGACCAGAACGGTCACCTCGGGTTGTTTCAGGAAAATATCGGTTTCCTGGCGATAGTAAGTTATGCTTCAGGAAGCCAGGATATGGGTCTAGTTCACGACAAATACAAACCTTCCGCGACAAGACAAACACATCGTGCTTCTTCAACGCAATGATAGCCTCAACAATAGTGCCGCCAAGGCCACCTGTACCACCTGCAATTGCAACTCGGGTCATGTTCTAGTATTGATAACTCAGGGCTGTGATACTTTGGATGCTGCTAGTTGCTAGGAATGTGATGAAATGAACGAGAACTCATCGAGGATATTTTACTTTATACTTATTCTCGGTCACTCTTACAAATGGACTCATGACCGTCATATTCACATGAACGGCAATGGAACCCCTCCGAGCCCGAGCATAGCGCCAGTTACAGGTGTCGGACATAGGACAGGAATTCATCCGTCTTACTGTACATGTCGGCGGTCGGTGAATCAGCGGCCGACACACCGACACGCCGGTCCAAACAAACAATTTATTACGCCCGGCGGCACTAGAGCCGAAAGGGCATTAATTACTAATATACATAACTATAAGCTAAAGTTCCTAACCCGTCGCCGTTTTAACGATCCCGACCAGCCCGACCAGCCCCCGGACCTGACGTTACTTGTGTGCCAACGGACAGACAAAGGTGCCAACATCCGTCAACGTTTCCCGCGAAGCACACAAGGTCAAAAATTACAGCAACACAATGACACATAAAGGCCCGCCCTAGTCTCCCCCCTCCTTTCCCATCTTCTCCGCGAGAATGTTCCCCCGGCATAAGATGGCGGGTTCAGGGATACGTTTCGCTCTCAGCGCACGAGGCGGCCACATCTCGATCCGTTTACTCTTCTCTTACGCCTTTAACTGGCTGTTTCTCATCGTCGTCGCTGCCATCGCAGCCTTGCTCGGGCGGATCAAGCCTAAAAAACAGCCATTCTCCCTCGTCGACCCCGACATCTCGTTCGTCCCCCCCTTGCGTCTGTCTGATGCAACTTTCTTCAGGGCACTTACGGCTAACGTCGACTCGAAAACAGCTTTCCTTTCACAGAGCACGAGACCGTTCCTTCCTTCTTACTGCTCATCCTCTGCGCCGTGGTCCCAATTTGCATCATTGCTATCGTCTCCATCATCTTCGTGCCTGGCCCAACCGTGCCCGGCCCAACCGTGCCCGGCCCAACCGTGCCCGGCCCAACCGTGCCCAAAGACACTCCCAAGACATTGATATGGAAGCGAAAGCTCTGGGAGCTCTACGTGGGTTGGCTGGGTCTTGCGTTAGCTCTTTTGTCAGCGTGGTTCTTCACTGAGGGTATGAAGAACATGTACGGCAAGCCTCGCCCTGACTTGCTCTCGCGATGCGAACCCGACACCGAGAACGCCCAAAAATACGTCGTTGGAGGGTTTGCCGGCGAAAGCATTAACGGCCACCTATTCTCGGCTGACATCTGTCAGCAGAAGGACTCGTACAAGCTTAATAACAGATTCCGAAGCTATCCCAGCGGTCTCTCCTGGTCCTCCGCTGCTGGTCCCATCTACACGTCCCTATTCCTTGCTAAGTTTGCCGTCACCATTCCCTTCGTCGTTCCAGCCTTGATCTCTGCTGATCGCACCACCCACGCTGCCTTCCCGTCCCGCATATGCTCGGAGGTCGATCCTGATAAGCCAACCCGGGCTCGGGGCTTTCCAGACGACCACTCTGCGACTTCCTCGCCCTTTAACGGCAAAATGGTTGCGCGATGAAACGCCAAGATCCAGTCTCTGCGTCGCCAAGCTGCTGCGCCCCCTATCTACCTCCTTATCATCACCCTCATACCTTTCTGCATCGCCATCTTCATCGCCTCCTCGCGATGGTTTGATTTCCGGCACCACGGTTTTGACATCCTCTTCGGCTTCTTCATAGGCACTATCACCGCCATTTATGCCTTCCGATACTACCACCTTCCCATCCAAGAAGGCGCTGGCTGGGCTTGGGATCCCGAAGCGAGGACAGAGCCTTTTGGGCTGGCGTTGGTCGACGGGGTTATGCTGGAGATGCTGGCAACTTGCCTGAGAAGAACGAAACTCATCATCACGACTTGGGCGAGACCTCTGACACTCCGTATCATGCGCCCACAACCTCTGGCGCCTTGATGCAGAGAACCGCTCACATTAACCATAATCACGAGCCCCGTCAGTTCCAGGGTATCGAGCTGCAGAGTTCCGCCTGAATCGATTCGAGTGTATTTGCAAGTGCATAGTTGCCGACGGCAGCTTCTATCTTTCCGATGTAAATCAATGTGCAGTTTATAAGGAGTCTAACAATCCCACCCGGGACTGGTACCTCGTTGCTTTGGTCGGTTCATGTCGCATATTCGTTCCCATCCCGATATCTATCACGGAACCAGTTTTGGAGACTGTAAAAATATAAGCAAATATAAACATGAACAACTCATTGATAATAGACACGAAACTCCCTCAGCAACGGCTAGACATACTGACAAGAAGCACTCTGGCCGGTGAGGGAAGTTGTTAAATTTCAAGGATCGAATGGCTTCTTAAAACCTAGTAAACGCGATAAATACCTGCCAAGCCTTAACTCTCAGTGCGACAACACCAAGCAGCCTCAATCCTGGAAAAACTGTATGCTGTTTTCAGACTACCTAAGCTGCATAATAAGGTATTGGGAATAACTATTACCAACCCCCCCCCCGGCCCCCCCGGGATTGAACGCAGCGACAAGCGGAGGGGTAGTACTTAACCCTAATAAAGCATCTATATATCTTGCTAATAACCTAGCGTTAATTCTTGGGGATCCGTCCGTCTTTTCAAGACAAGAGTACCTAACCAGTTAGATATACTGGTATGCGCCTGCTGTGAAATATCTTATTGAGCTGTGGCGATGTTTAACTGGACCTGAATATGCCCATGCACTTTATGTATACTATATTTAATCACCTTAAACATGTTCTAGAGTAGTTAATATATATGATTAAGCTAAAATCGCAGTACCCGACTCAAACTTGACATCACGCGCTGTAAAAATCAGCCCGATGCCTGTGGCACATTAAACTTAGAATCGGCTTAAGTTGCAACACTCTGCACACATAAAGCCAAGAGATTACGGCTATAAATGAACCTGGACCCCTTCGACCCACCTCTAACAAAGTTATTAAAAATTAGACAGTATGCTGTTATAACTGCTATAGTTGCCGGGTCCAAGCCAAAATAGTCTAATATTAGGTGGGGAAGGGAGCAAGCGCTACTTTGCTACCCGCGGTAGGAATATGTTCGGGAAGGCGAGATCAAGGCATTAAAGGCTCTTATTGCTTGTAACAGGCCATTCAAGTACTATTTTCCAGAAGGGGGGAAGAGTGTGGTCTCATAGTTATCGAGATTTTCGTTGAAGCAGCTTGACGATGGCCTCGTGCCCATTCCTGACGGCAGCCATAGCGGCGTCCCACCATATCCCTCCTTGGACTCGACGTCGGCGCCCTTCTCGAGCAGCAGCTTGACTCGCTTGTCATCGTTCTCATCGTTCTCCGTGTTCTTCTCATAAAGGGACGACGGCGTCTTAGAACTCAGATGGTGGTCCATCCCGTCGCTTATAGTCGTAGTGCTAGGCAACTCCGCAAACCGCGATCCATGACTTGGGGTTCCGCCAGAGCATAAGGTTCACTAGGACAGAGCTGCAATCGAAGTGAGGGACAGTCTAGAGAGGTCAGCGTAAGGAACCAGCATGCCATTGACTGGACGGGGAAGAGACGTACAGGGCTAGCGAGATTCTCTAGTTGGAGGTATAGCCGAAAAGCTGCGCTGGATGGGTTGTAACACTACTCTGCTCAGTCTTTCTTCGCTCCTGCTCCGTTACTCCCTGACATTCGATCATCATATTTATCCTGAAGAGGGGCTCACATTTAATCCAGAACGTTCGCCAAATATAATATCAATGCTCATTTACATTATATGCCACTATATATACACTGCAATCCTATCCTCCTATGTCAACTTGCCCAGTTTTATATCATAAGAAACAGAGGGAACCCGGCAAAGAAAAGCTCCGCAGGCTATCAACAGCAGATAGTTAATAACGTTGGCCGGCGACCAGCCCTACTGCTTCCAAACCGAACCAAGCCCACAGTCTTTCTCCCAACCACATTAGAACCTAAGCGTCTGTCCGACGCCAGGTGGAGCTTTCGAGGTCGGTAGTGTAGGATGTGAGTTCAGTTGAATTAATCATCTGTAACGTCGGCGAGGGAAGTGAAGGTTGCACAAGCAAGTAGTCCTTCACCACCCAGGTAATGAAGAACGGCCCAGTAGCTATTATGATATTGCAGTAGGGCTGCAGTTAAGCCCAGAATCGGGTCATACAATAAAAGACCGGTAGTTTGGAAATGGCTGCTGCAAAAGCCGGATGCCTTGCGGATGATATCATAAAATCGTTGGTCACGCCAGTAGGTCGCGTTGATTTGAATACAGCAGTGTGTCGCGCTGTGTCAGACTCGACTTGGTGTAACGGAAAGGTCTCATTATAAAAGATATCCATGTCGAGATACATGCCACATTGGTGCAGCTGATCGTCTCTCCCGCCTGCGACGGTTCCTTTGTCGCTGGCCTTGATATCCGGGGAGTGCCTCAGCCCTTGCTGCGGTAGACGAATTCCCGGACCTGCCAACACCGACAACGTCGAGGCGCGAGAGCAGATCATGGTTCATCTGCGGCCGCGCTTGACTTTGGGTTATTGGAAGCGTCTGGGTCCCTGCTGGTCTTGATCCGTCCACCAGAGATTACTTATTGCCTCCCATTCTTCACGGTTACTTCTGTCGCATTCCCCATCTTCACGCCGCGATCTGACCGTGTCTGCCATCTTGAGCTTCCGTTCTTTGTACGCCGCTTCAGACGAGCGCGACCGAACTGCGTCCCATTCCAAAAATTCCCATTGCCATTCCCATCGGTCATCTGGCCCCTGTGGCCCGTTCATCGGTTGGCGGCGAGCTCGATCAACACCTCTCCCAAGTTTTCCTAGCTGCCAGTTGCAATACGCCTGCAAATATGGGGAGTACAGTACACGTGGCCGAAACCTCAAGTTATTGAAGTTTCATACGGCAAACATCCTGAAGAGTCAGATCTATACGAAAGCTGCTCGGACTCGAACGATGGCTCCTCGGACTGGGACGACGGCTTTGCCGAGGCCCTTCACCTGCGCTCGACATGCCGCTTGTCAACTTGGCTGCAGCAAGATTACAACGGTATCGGCTCGCGGGGTCTGGAAGAAGACGATCCGTGCTTGTCCGCATCATCATTTACTTCTTATCTTCCATCTGCTTGTACCTCAGCGGCCTTTCGTCATCGTCGTCCTTCCTTGCCGATCCGTTCTCGTCCAAGCTATCTGCAACACTACATGTGCTTTCCCCATGATTGCTTGTCGCAGCGTCGACTTCAATGCGATTGTCTTCCGTGGTATAAATAGCCACGCCCACTTGCAAGCTTGAAGATGAAGATTGGCCAAGAAACCCCGTGTCCCTGTTCGTCTTTGACCGGCCATTGAAGACAGCTGACCCATCTGGTCTTTCCTGCAACTCGATAGATACTGCATCAACTCCGCGAATAGTACGAATTCCTTCCGTGGAGACTCTTGTCCTGTTATACGTGGACGTGAGGCCTTTACTTGGAACGTTTCCCTGTCGTGCTGTCTCAAGGTCGCCAAAAGTGCCGCTGGAGATAACACCACATTGTCGTTGTCTGGCAATTTTCCCTATCAAGTCTGCCATTGACATCTCGATCTTGAGTTTGACCATATAGGCGAAAGGATGAAACTGCATGTAACTAAACTCATCGTTAGGAGTGGTTCTCATTATCTATTCTGCTTCTCCTCGTCCCGAAAGATTGCCGGTTCATGCAATGTAAGGTAATATAATAGAGTTGACTTACACGAACGTGTTTTTCAAGCTCATCATAGAGATAATAAGCACATCCATGCTGAGGGAGAATCCGACGATGCACATATTGAACTTGACCAGACTCTTATACTTGGTTAGACCATTTGCCACCAGGTTCTGTTGAACAACGCGAATGAAATAGAAATTGAGTGCTCCGTCGACAAGAAGGTAGATCCCCTTCTCGATACGGTCCCACCACTCGTTGATCCAGATATATCTCTCTGAGATCTGGAGACGGGCGGGGATCCAAATATTATAGACCGAGATATTAACGGCTGTGATTAAGACCGCAACACCGACCTTAAGACGGTATGCCGTTATCGGATCTGTGAGAAGGATAGAGCAACGATTAATAATAATTTGGAGAAGAAATTGAACCTGAAATAGTTAGAATTATTTATAAACTTCGGAAGGGTAAGTCGAGCATACTTACTTGAAGCGCCCATGTGGTAACTATGGAGGTTATTAACTTATTCTTGGCGACTTAGGGTGCTTTTGGACTGCTTACGAATGCAAAAAAGAACGCAAAACTAGAAGATTCAATATTTAGTACCGTCTTCAAACGTTACATCACCAAGAGATCCCTCCTCGCACTCTCAACTGCCCTTACCAGCAGGTATCGATTGCCATGTCGCCATGTTCGATTACCAGTACAGTCAGAATTTCCAGCAGTACCTTGACTATCCAGATATATTCGACCTGTTGTACCGATAGGAAATGTGGACTGTGCAAGGAGGAATCATCAAACACACATGGGATTAACGCTTACCTCGGGGGAATTATGCCTTTTAAGTGCAACCAGCAGATAATGCTGAAGATGAGGCATACAAGAATCTCCAGCCAAATCATCCAGATATAGGCACTGCGGAATACGAGAAGGCCGCGTCTCTCGTAAATTCGTTTCGTTTGCTTCATGGCTGTCCAGGTGGTGAGCCATCCAAAGCCGATCGTGAAGCCCCAGGCCAGCGAAGCAAGAGCAAGGTCATCTTCGGTGACCTCTTGGAGGACAAAATTGGGAGAGAGGAGTGTGATCATCGTGAACCAAATATTGGTTGACACCAACTTGGAATGACCATAACTTTAGCCAGACTCTAGTTCCATTCAGAAGAGGCATCACAATTTAAATGAAGGACGATAGTGATCGAGATGGGCATCCTTGCCCATGGTGTTGGTGTATCATCAGCCGCCAGCCAATAGCTTAAGTCACAGGAGCTAAAAGTCTAGCCCTCGTACGGATCTAGTGACACAGCACTGACTTGCGTGCGTCGTGACGCCCGCAAGCATCCCCGGCCTCTGCACAGATTGGCTGGAATTCAAGCCTTACCATTAACAGCCCAGGAGGCTTCGGTACCTAAAGACGACTCCGGGTAAGAAAGCTTGTAGAGTTTCAGGCAAGCTTTCAGAGAGCACGGCCTTGCCGAACTGGTCTGGACTCGGAGGTTGCTTGCGGAGTGACGTAGCGTTTGGCGCCACACTAAAGCCAACTTGTATTTCTGATACTCCGGGGAGGGAAGCATGACATAACACGGGCTATGATCAACATAGAATGCTGAACGGCTTTTAGGTTGAACATCACTATTGGAGTAGCGCCCTAGGGTTGGAAGCTGGAGTGGTTGAGTGTCGCGAGATTGGATGCGATTCCTAAATAGATCTGACTATACCTTCAAGTTAGCATAACAAGTAGACAAGCGAGTCATTTACTCGAATAGCTACTGATATGAGTTATTATTATGCAAGGTGTTGTTCTTTCCTATAGCTGAAATGACCTGTCTACTCTTAGTCTGTGCACCGCTGGGGCGGCAACAGCACTGCTGCATCGTTGACGGCGGAAGCCATGTGAAAGTGACAGATAGCAATCCTAACGCCACGGGTTACTGGTATACAGACGTCATGCAAGCGTGACATCTGCTGCTCTTAGCGCTTGAGAGATGAAAACCTTGTGGGTGGGTCCATGAGTCGTAATATCGTGGGTCACGGTCACTTCATAGGGATGAGGCATTCAGAGAGAAAAGCTGAAAGGGGCGCAGATTGATGTTGAGCCAGGTGGCGCTATTCCGTTCGCATTCCCGAAGGGCCCGGTGAGGGGAAGCAGGTACAGGGGCTGCTACCCTGTGATCGACGCTCTCCCTACATGATGCATTTTGGATGCCATTTTGTGGCTTGCGGAAGGCCGGTCTGGCCATGCAGGGGTGAAGTTTGTATTTGCGCTACTGTCCGCTCGCCCCGCATTCTGCAGTTGGGCCGCTGGGTGCTGGCATGGTCCTGGGTCAGTGACGAACTGTGGTGAGAAGACAGTGTTTCTAGCACTGACGTGAATCCTCGGCCATTAACTTTGGTTATGTGAAGATCAAGCCGTGCCGCCGCCCCCATGCCACAGTGTCAGCCTGACCTTAGCATCTGGTGACAGGGCTGAGATGGTATGCTACTCGACACTTCAGCAGCAAAGGATCCCGGATCCCGAAGCTAACACGCAGCTCGAATTTCTGCACAGAAAGGCCGAGGCTATTTCTACCGCCGAATTCTTCTGCTAATTGGAAGCCCCTTTGTAAGAATGTACCTTTCTGTCATGTTCATCTGTGCCATAAATGGGCATGTTTCTCCGTCAATCTATATCATTTTTTTCGTTATCCGGGATACGCGGGGCTGATACTCGGTGGCGTCAGCTGACTTTCGGGGTAGGTAAACTCACTCTTCAGCAACTGACAGAAGTTTGGGCTGGAGCCACCCACCTCCTTTGCGGTATTTTCTGGCAGGAAAATAATGTATTAGCCTCAAGTGTTAATACGGCCCCCTACATTGCCCTGGGCAAGGCTTTCCCAAGCATACCGACATACCTAGACATGATTAAGGTAAGCGCGGCAATTTCAAAAGCGCTCCCGCACTTGTGTCTCAGTCGGCAACTTACTCCCGTCCCAATGTGGCGTTATCCTTGTGACACTCACTTTCATCAAGGGTCCTGGGTGCACGGATCAGCCGGAAGAGTCTCCGACAAAACGACCATGAGGCTAACAGGAAATACGGGGAACTAGTATACATCATGATCGACAGCACCTATCCAGGATAGCACTAACAATCACTTTTGTTGTGGGGATAACTTAAAAATCGAGTAATGCTCCGGCGCACAGACAAGCCACACTGGGGACTTGCAAACTGAACCTACTGGCCTAGTTAATACTTCAGCAAACTAAAGATTAAGCCGAGGGGCGATGTTTACGACTTCAACAAGGATCTAGACACTTGGTCAAATAATGGTTGCACCGCGGAGACCATCATCGGTTCCGCGATCCCGCCATAATTCAGGGTCTGCCAGTTGACATGTGAGTGACGAAGACATTCGGCGCTTTGCCAGGGGATGACCCACAGGCAGGGGCTCGGGGTTGGTGATATTGAAGGCCGCGCCGCGTATCTTGCTCTGCCAGAGGTCGTCCAGGAGCGTATCAGTGTTAACGTGCTTGCCCTTGGCGATGTTGGACAGAAACGTCTTCTTCGTGACCGGGATGTCGAACTGCTCTGGGTCGAGCACGCGCTTCGTCGATTGCGCTGATCAATCTTGTTCGATAGGAATTATGGAACCTGTGCCGGCATACGGGGTATCCCGCGTAGTTGTCGAGATTGCCTTACGAACTCTCGTTAGGTAGGAGTAAAGTGTGCCTATGGTTCACTCACCAAAGCAGACTTGACCGGGTTGAAGCGGGAGTCAGCAATCTTCAGACTCTTTTGCGTGACATTGAAACACGCTGCTAAAGCAATCTCCGCGGCTTTTGCCAGAGAAGCCCAGGTTCATGCTGCCTGCCGCCAGCGGACCGAAAAGTGGCACCTTGCTACTTGTGGCGGATTAGTGCCTGGAACTCTTACAGCATTATCAGCAAGGTCGGGCTGGACTGATTCACACCCCTCGGCGCTGCCACACGGATGGCTATCTCTATTCCTTGTAACAGCCTTGATATGATCGAGTAGTTTAGCAACTGACTCATGCCCACTCCACGCTGCCATGTGAAGGGTAGCCCATCAATCACTATCAGCAACTCTTGACGCCATCACATTGTCATTCCAAAGTCAAACGCGGCTGTACAACATCGATCAGCGCTTCATTATCTCATATGTCACGACGGTGGTTTGACGTAGCGAGAACAGAGTGGTTCAAGAACAGTTGCATTTAAAGGACCCTTGCTGCCTAAACGAAGAAGAAGCAGAGAGGGAAAACCACAGCAACGAAGACACGTACTTTTCCATCTTCCCACAACTATTACCTGGGTTGAGAAACTAGACACCAGTCCGCGGTGGGCACTGTTGATCATAGTATGACTGCCGACAGCGGTAGCTCGACCGTCTCTCTTGTTAACACTGAGCCTATGACATTCTCAACCATACCCCTAACAACTGAGTGTAGCTATGGCGTTTCTTCCGCCACTGGTTCACGACGTAGTCGAAAATCCAACAAGTTGAAGAAAATAGGCACCATGCTTGGTTGGAAGCGAATGCAATTCGACCGAAGTTCACACACTTCCGCGTCCGTTGCTATCAAATACGGCAGATATCATATCTTACAAGGGTTACCGATCGCCCCACCGCAACGTTCCTTCTGCCACCACTGCCGAGCTGATGCCTTACGAGACGAGGAGTGCTACATCGGCAAAACATCACTTGATGAACCGCACCCAGGCCGTCGGCTTTCGCTTCCCACGGATACGGGGAAGGCGCCTGCATCAATTGTGATGGAAAGCGGCCTAGGGGACCGACAATGCAAAGGAACGGGTGGTGCGGCCACATATCCATTACGTCTCGTGCGTAAATGGGTTCAGTCATTGACGAAACCCACGAGTACCCCGCAATCAGAGGCTTTGACGCTGCAAAGCACTCCTCCCGGCATTTTTGTCACTGACTCGCTTTCCATGTCACCAATCGTTGACACAGAAACCATCGCCTACAGCTGGGATCGAGAGCTCGAACACCAGAGCAACGGCAATGCTGATATGAACTCGCGAGCTGGTTGTCTGGGCACGGAAGATTATTTCTGCTACTGGAGAGCTGACGGGGGTTCAAGTTCGGGGCTATGAGTTCCTCAAGACCCGTTCCATCGATGCACTTAGGGACGAGGCGGCGTCCAAGAACCATTATGCGGTGTCCCTAGGATCATCTGCCATTGCCTAAATAGCTAGCTACATCGCTCTCTGCCCGTTCGAGGCTGTTCGCATCCGCTTGGTCTCGCAGCCGGGATTCGGGCGTGGTCTCGGGGATGGATTCGCAAGGATTGTCAGGGAAGAGGGGATTTGAGGCCTGTACTCCGGGTTGGGTCCGATATTGCTCAAGCGGTATGCAATTCTCTAAGTAATCTTTTCGCTGGCAGTACACTAATCGTTCTAGGGTATTATACATATTGGCGACCTTCGTCGTATACGAGAATGCTCTCGAGCCAGCCTACTATCAGACAAGATGGATTGGTGGGAACAGCTTGAGGACGATAGAAGATCTTCATTTTTTTTTAGCTAACTGACGGCCTGAAGGGCCGTATTTTATAGAGGAATTTAATACAATAGATGTCTTAGGACAGGGATCGTGATCAGCCCACTGACAGTAGGATCAGCTGTTGGGCTGCTAGCAAGATCAGCTGTTAGGCCTATTAGTCCGTCTGGGAAAATAACAGTCCGTAAAAAGCATATAAAATCGTATGTCTTTGACCGCCGAAGTCGGCGATGTGACATCCTTGTCTGTTCCGTCTGATACCTACAAGTGGGTCGACAAGTCGACCATATCCAGCGCCGCGATCACGGGATTCAATCTGGGCTCTGTGCATGGGAACTAAAGATTTGATCGTTTCTTGACAGGTGGCATCGATTGCTGACGCCTCGCTTGGGAAGCTCAATCCGAAGACGTCACTCTGGGGAGATGCAGCAATCCCTAGCGGGCCTAGCCCGGCTACCTTCTCGTTGGCTTGTGTGATCGCCTGGTCCCTCTGTTGTTTGGTCCAGTCCCTGCCATTCCGATATGCAGCAGCTCGTTACCGAAAGGTACCGGGGTCACTGATTAAAGCAAATACTTTTTACTTATGGCATGTCAAATCCAAGCTTTACTCCCAGCGCAGATAGCTCTATCGTGTGGCTGACAAGCACCTTCAGAATTCCACCGTAATATATTGATGTGAGAGTGTAAGCCTTGTTTTCACATATATCGGGATATCGGATTCCGGATGTATCATGCTATTGAAGCTTTCTTCCTTCATCATAGGCGTCCATCGCCACCTGCCTCGTCATCGGCCTCGTCACCGATCTCATGATAGTCCTAGCTTTTCCTTGATTTTATCAATAGCTAGCTGAAGCCAAAGACTCCGGACCACCCGGAGCCTCTCGGCCGTCCGAGGTCATCCGAGGTCATCTTCATCTATAAGACTGACCTAGCAGACCTCAATTAGATAGGAAGAATAGCAAGAGCTTCTCACACATATGATCTTATCCATCTGCTAGATGCAACATAAGTTATATACCCTATTACTTATATAATAGGTAATAATTTATTCTAATAAGGCACTACCCAAATTCTTAATAGACTGTTTTAAGAGGCTGCCTGGTAGTATAGTATTATAGCTGTAAAGCAGTATCCTGATATTAGGCATATTCTTGGGCAGGAAGTCGCGTTGCTAGACGTCGTTGCTATTTGGGGATTTCTAGGAGCCGAGTGTGTAGCTTCTGAGGCCGGGTACTGCTATAATACTGGAGGAGTCAGCACGGGAAAGAAAGGTTAGAGAAGGCCAGGCTTACTCGACATCTACACCGTTCTTGTCCTCGTAGAGCGGCGTGATTCCCTCGAATTGCAGGTGTAGCTGTACGGGTGACTGTTCCCAACTCGGCGCAGCTGAGCAGACAGGTCGTCTGCGGAGAGCAATATAATAATCGAGATGTAGTATAAAGGGAGTCGTTGCTATATAGCACTAAAGAGCGACGGACTATAGTATCAGCGTCTCCCCGCAAATCCGGAACCTCCTCGAGAATAGACTTCAGGTTGCGGCCCAGGTTATCGGTCTGATCGGCTGGGATGTCATCGACGCGCAGTGTCAGGCTCTTTTTATCCTTCGGCGCCAGAGCGGCGTCTCTCCCCAGGACCGGATCCTGCTCGACAATAGACTTCGAGTTGCGGTCCAGGTTATCGGTGTGATCGGCTGGGATGTCATCGATGCGTGGTGTCGGGTTCTCGGTCTTCGGCGGCTTCAACGGCTGTCCAGGGGGCCTGCCGATGAGGATCGCCGTCACCAAGACCACACTAGCGGTCGCAAAGACCGCCACGAACAATTCAGACACAGTGGCCCTCTCGTTCTAGATATTGGACGGATTCCGATGCGGGAATGATGAAACGAATAAGTTACATCTCTGGGTGAGGAGCATAGCTCACTACATAGTATCCACATCCCAGCCACCAGCAGATCGGACCTCCTTAGTCATACGGTCTCAACAGGGAAGTAGACGGTGCGATCGAGTGTTGCTCGGGCTAGAATGGGCAGCAGAGGCGAGATGCGCTATGTCGTGAGTGGTCATCACATGCTTCTTGCCTGCAGCTGACCACGTGACATGAAAGATAGTTCTGCCTGGTCCCAACCTCACCAGACGAGGTCGTGATTCTGGCGATACTGGGTTTTGCTTCCTCACCTTCAAGATGATATCAATGGCCCTGACACCGCCCTTCGCTTTAGAGCATCAGCTAACGCGGGAGCTAGACGAGCCAGCCCGGCACGTGCCGGGACACCCCCACGTGCCTCTGGAGGACCGAAGCAAGGTATGGGACTTGCTAGCCAGAGAAATCTGCTCGGACGATTTAGACCGGGTTGCCAACAGGCTCTGGTGGATGTCAAAATAGGACAGTGGAAACATATCGCCTCTCTACTGGCAGTTGGTAAAACGGCGCACCATCGTCGTGACGGAAGACCCGAAGCTCCACCTGGTGTGGATCTACGATTGCATCTTTATTAAGCCGCTCCCGCAGTATATCACGTCATATATATTCTGGAGGGACTATCTCTGCACAGAGGCCGGCAGCGGAGGACTTGAACGTATTCGACGAGCGGCGCTGGGCTACCTGCGGACGTACTACCATCTTATAAAGCACGAGTCCGACTTGCGCATCGCCCAGGACCCCAGCCTGTGCCTCGTCCCGCCGGATATCACCTGGGAGCAGTTCTGCGACTTCACGTCGAGCCTGGGGGACATCGCAGACCGAGACGTCTCCCTACGCTACGCCTACGGCGAGATCCGCCTGACGCAGCTCAACTTATACGCTCCGCTCCTCCTCGGCAAGTCGCACTTCCAGAAGGTCGAGCACCAGTACGGGACGTATTTTGCGCGCTTCTACGGGCCGATCCTGTTCGTAATCGGGATCACGTCGGTGGTTCTGAGCGGACTGCAGGTCGTCGTGTCGGTCGGGGAAGATAGCGGGGGCGGTTGGACGGGGGCGGCGCTCTGGGTCGGCGTCACGGCGATCGTGACATCCTGCATCCTGCTCTTCATTTTAGGCCTCCTCCTGGTGTACAAGGTAACGAAGGAGTGGAAGTTTGCAATCCGCGACCGCCTCCGGTTGTTGGAGGAGAAGCGGGCGGCGGAATGACGATGTTTGTACTTGTTCGAGTCTAGGCTAGCGGAATAACATGTCTTCGTTTGCCCCATACCACTGATCGTACTGTCTATGCGTTAAAGGGTCGAGAAGCTCGATGACCCCAGCGTGGCGGGAAGCGGAGCTGGCATTTCGCTTAGAAGATAAGCCTCCGCGATCAACCTTGTCTCGCGACAGGGTATTAATCCCCTGGCGTCTTTCTTGTACCATCTGCGTACCCTTCGCCTGGTCGGGGGAACGAGCTGGGGGAAGTCCAGCAAGTCATCGATTCTTTCTCGATGACAGAAAAACTCCGCAACAACAAGAACATGCTCCAAGATTCTCTTGCCGCTGTCAAGGAGACAGTAGAGAAGGCCAAAGACCTCGATAAGACCGCAAAGGACATATTGCAAGTACAATCAGCTCTCAATTGGCATCGTCAATTTAGCTTTAAAATGCAAAAAGCAGATGAAAACACAACGTAAGCAATTCCTTCCACTTCATTGCTGGTCCTTGCTGAATGAAGGCAGCCCAAAACAACTGGACGATCTTTACAAGTCAACACGTACCTTGATCCAGGGCTGTTTGGGTGAAGATCTCGGGCAGGCCGTACTCGCTGATTCCGAGAGATGGAACAAAATCCGCGACCACGTTGTTGTTCATCAAATCACTGACGTGATACTAAAATATTAGTCAATTGAGTTCATCAAATTCCAAGTCCTTAAGTATCTAATTCGTAGTTGTTGATCTCCTTCACCTGCAAGTCCAGCTTAAGCACTGTATTTACTGCTGTAACGAAGGCTTTGCAGTCCCAGCACTCTTACTTGTTCACTATAATTTGAGCTTTGTTAATCATGACCGGAGGTATGGCTTCTCTGAGATGCCAATGGTCTTCTGTCAAGACAACGTGGGTGTTCACAAAGTAGGCGATAAGTTGCTTCTCTGCGTGACAGGCGTAATACTGCCCTCTCAAGCCATTATCTCTTTCGTTGTCCGCCGGAAGGCTATGCTGGGCTGCATCACGTCTACCGACAGTGTCCCAGTACTTGTAGATAAGCACAAGGACTTGTTGTCGGAGGTTCCATTCAGGTTCCCAAGACTGCTCGCCGTTTCCCCATTTAACTAAGATATCAACTGTGGCATTGGTTTCGTCGACACGATGAGTCTCGAATGAGTCAATCTCAACTTCATCAAGATCTATAACAATATCGCACGTGGCACTAAGTTCGGCTAGGTCGGCTTCTTTGGGCTCGGCGATGGAATCCAGCTCGGCTTGCTTTTGGGGTGTTTGGGTATCTGTCAAATCTACTATAGGCCATTGTTGCACTACGCATTAGCGGAGTGTTCATTCCACTTTTGCCGTAGCTGGCAATGCGACAGTATCGACCAAGGCTTCTTTCGGAGGAGGGATAGTCTTAGTGATGTTGTGCTCGGGGGACCGGGCGATGGCAGCGGTATCGAGGCTTCGCTTGTAGTTTTGATCGATATCAATACCGCGGATGATATCACGGCCGATGCTGCTATGTCGGGCGTGCGTCATAGTCGTCAAGGGTGAGGTTGAAACGAGGTCTAAAAATGCGATATTAAGATTAGCAAGCCTGGACTTTACGCTAGACATAACTATAGGACAACAAAAGAGACCTATGAGATCCCCAGAATGGTGTATTGCACCACTTGGAAAGTTTGTGCTGGACTGACGCGGTTCGTTCGCAGTTCAACGCGTCATCTGGTGCAATGTGGCACTGCCACAATCATTACTGTGGCTAGCTCATGGGTACCATCCTCGAGGTGAAGTGGGACTAGCAGTACTCTCCCCACCGTGAATCTTGGTCCATTTCTGGACTCCCTTCACCGACTTTGTCGTACTTTGACGCGTTTGCCAGGACCTGACAGGAAGCAAAATGAGTCGTATTGTGGAAAATTTTGGTCCACTTTTGGCTGCTAGATTGTCTCCCCAAGCACCACTGATCCGTGCTCGAAATTACCGGATTATGAACGGCATGCCGTTCGGAAATGCTTCAGTGCACTGATACCCGGAGTGGTATGTAACTCTGCCGCCAATCGGTGCTCCCTTCCATGCACGCACTTTGATCGATGCCCGGCGCCTTATAGGTGTTCATTTTTCGACACCAGAATTCCGCAAATAGCTACTTAGGTCCCTTTTCGAACCCCTGGTCGGTTCTATAATTACACCTAAATAACGACCTCACAGGTGAATTGCAGCAGTCAATGCAAAACCCAGGTAGGCATCTGAAAGTATGTACCTCTGGTCCATGTGGTAGTCGCTGACCTAGGTAATCGTATAGCGGCAATCCTGCAGCGGCAATCCTATAATGGCAATCTTGCTGCGGTAATCTTGCTATGGACTATAGGTATAGCTGGAGAACAAGTTGAATTGCAAATTATAACTGAGCATCTATTGTCACGGGTGTCACAGGCCAGGGCCCATATCCTTGCGGCTGTGCCGCAAGACGTACTAGGCTCATGGGCGCCAGGGATGAGAAATCGGTCCACAGCTCAGGGGCACCTCAGGGGCACTTAGGAACTTCTTTCTTTCTTCTTCATCTTTGATGTAAATAGCATCCTGGACTAGATAGCTGGAATCCAGCTACTAGAGGCCGTTCACAGGTTCGTCCTCATCTTCTGAGCGGTACTAGTCCGCATTTATAACACTTAAACATCTCAAAGCCTATAGAAGCCAAACTGCTGTCTGATCTTTCAGAGCCATCATGCATTTACTTTACTTGGATGTTACTATGTAGCATTGTTCCTCTTGCTAGAGGACAGTCTCGACCTAAGGAAGACAACTTTAACATGAACTTATGGAGTCGCGCTGTCATCAGTCTCGCCCCCCTTGTCCACCTGGTCCACGTCGTCCTGGCTCCTCAACTGGCGAAGCCCTTCATACTTCCACCTGGAAATATATGTCTCGAATGCTTGCTCACCATGCTTTCCGTTTGTTGTCGCGTACACGCCAACGATGACGCCTACCATATGTTAGCATGCAACAGCCGAATAACAACCATTCATAACGGTTGGACCGGTATTACTGAAGAAGTGTCTTTTACTCACCGGAATAGTACGGCACCACATCAGTCCCCCGACAATGACCAAATACGCGCATTCCCGACTGTCGGTCTGTTGAGCCAACCGGACCCGCCCTAAACTCGAAATGTGTGCTATTGACTGCCTCAATCTCGAGTCGAAGCTTTTTTCCCATCCATTCACTTGGCATGGCCACTGAGCTCACTGGGATAGCCGTCCTGCCTCGGTACGGAGTCTCTGAGTGTCCACGAAAGCGCAGATGTGGTTGCAAGGACTCTTTTCCCTCTGCCTTGAGCATCACGATGCCCAGGTCGAAATGCTGCGCTTGGTCTTGGAATACCGAGACACCAACTTCCATTTCCTCTTTCTTCAAGGATTTGGCCCAGTCTATGTCTACGCTGTATCGGAACATGGAATGTGCCATCCGCCGGCCAACAAACGTTTGACCTCGACCCAGGGAGGAGTCTGCATCGAAGGCCGTGAGATTGAGCACAGAAGACTTCAATGCCAGGCAATTAGAGTGGTGTGGTGGCGATATCCGGTAGCTTTTCCTTTTCGGCAACCGCAAATGCACGAAATGAATGGGTAGGCGACTCCCAGGAGCAAACGTGACCAAGTCATCCGCGCCGTTGAGCTGGCCTTCTCCATCCTCCACATGTGACTCAATAGGTAGTCTCCAACCCGACATGGTGCCAGCAACGGGAGTAAATATAGGAAATTTTCCCTCTTCCCAGGTCACTGGAGTGAGCACTGTCTCCCTTCCCATCGGAAGGTTGCCAAAGTATGGGCCAGGATCTTTGCCATATGACCCTCCGGCCCGCACAGCCAATGCAGATGCCCACCATTGGCCATCGCCGTCCTGGAAAAGATCGGCGTGTCCGACGGCCTGGAAGTATGAGCTGGTGTTGGCCGCTGTGAGAAGAGGGTTTCTAGGTGCCGGTTCGAAGGGGCCTTGAATACTGCGTGAGCGTGCCATGGTGACCATATGATTCTCACGAGTACCCCCTTCTGCGAGCAGCAAATAATACCACCCGCCGCGCTTCCAAAGATGAGGCGCTTCGGGCGAGGCTCCCCCAGTTCCGTTCCATGGCATGGTGATGTCGCCAATCTCTCCCGTTTTGAAATCCAGGGGTGCGTGCATCACTCCGGGATAGTAGGCTGCAGTGTGTGCGCCCGAAACCCAGGTAGACCCATCATCATCCCAGAACGGCGAGGGGTCGAAGCCAGGGAAACTGAAATGAACCGGATCAGACCATGCATCCGAGCTGTACGGATCTGTAGTGGTCATGATGAAGTTATCCCATCGAGAGTCATTGACGCGAGGAAGTTGTTGGTTGACGAGAGTCGACATCAAGTAGAACGTGCCTCTGTGGAACCGCAGAGTCGGTGCATAGATGCCACTGGTTGCTCTTGGGAGGAACGCCATGCCAGGCAATTGGTCTGGCCGACTGAACGCATTGGAAACATGCTTCCAGTGAACCAAGTCGCGGCTTGCGTGAACGGGGAGGCCAGGGAAGGCCAGGAAGCTCGATGTGACACAAAAAAAGGTATCATTGAACTCTGGTACGAAGACGCAGCCGGGATCCGGGTTGAAGCCGCTGAGAATCGGGTTTTGAAACGTCGAGTTCTCAGCAACACAGTGTGCGATTGCGCTTAGAAAGGGCAACAAGAAGAATTCGGTCTTCATGACAATTGTGGTAATCACTGAATTGTAGAAAGCTGACAGTCAATGTTTGAACCTGTCGCGCACGAAAACAGACATGTCACCAGCTATATATGCTACCAAGAATATATAGATCAGCAAGAGGTTCGGCTAATGACTTCCCGGAAATCCCTATCATGACAGAAACATCTATTCCCAACGTCCTCGATGTGACTTTTCCGAACTCCCAAATCGGAGCCTAAAACTTATCCGATTTAGCCTAAAGCCCTTCCGGTGGCATCAGCAACTCGCCGAGGAACGCGGGGGATCGTCAATGATGGCTGTATTCCAAAAAAAAAAAATTGACCCTTGCTAGTTTTGCAAGTGACGTGTGTTTATGCCTACGTTACAACGTGACCATTTGCAGACGTGGAGACCACATTCCAGGACAAATTGCAAGTAGGCGGGGGGGTTTGTAGATGAACAAGGTGTAAGCAGTGTCTTGCGTAAATGTCTTGTAAAAGGATTATGTGCTTAGTTGCTCGTGTCTCCAAGAACCCGGTGTCGTAGGGTAGGCCATGCTTCAGCTGAACACTTGGGAGAAGTTGGCCTTCAAGCAGGCGAGACCAATAAGTGTAAGAGAAATGTGGGGCTTTTATTTTATTCTAGTGGGGGAGATCAGAAGTAAATTATTCGAACTGTAAATAGCTTACGATCGTAGTTCTCTGAGATTTTGCCTTCCGGACGGAATAGATTTCGTTCATTCATTGGCCCCTACCCCAACCATCATAACCTCGTCGCGACCCGCAAATCTCCATCATTACCCCGAGCATAGCCGAGCTATTGCGAATTGCACCGGAACCTTGATTGCGCGCCTTGAGCACAACGCGACGCGACCCTCCGGACCATGCGATACGGCTGAGAGTTTGAACTGCCCCGCCTCCAACAGAGCCTAATACGAAAGCCTCGGAGTCCATGCAGCCCCCAACGCGCCGCTCATGACGACTCTGGTGACGACTCGCCGGCCGCTACGGATTATTAATACAAGCAGCCAGGCGGAGTAACGGACGAGCAAACGCGCCGCCGATGGGTTGCACGATGAGCACACGATGCAGGGAATGTTAGGCGCCGGCGGCCCAACAACAGCCATTGCCGATTGAGAACGGGATGATGATTTCCAGTTTGTGAGGAAGTCGAAGAGGGTGAAGACGCAAAGGCGCGAGGAGCCGGCACCAGAACCTCTAACAACATCGGGGCGGGGAAGGGCCGCAAAGGAACACGTTGCCCAGGATCTAGCACCTGTAGACCAGGGCACGAAGGAGACAACGGCGACGATAGCAACTACGGAACCTGTAATAACCAAGGCCACGAGGAAATCTTCAAGGCAGAAACCGAGCGTCGATGCGTCGAATGAGAAACCGCCACTCAAGATCCCCAAGAGAGGAACACAAAGGAGCGCACGAATATCGGGGGAAAAGCCGGGGGAAGAGACAACGCTGCAGACAAATAGCACGTCAATAAAGCGCGGGCGTAATGCAGGAGAAGCGCCGAAACGCCCCGTGCCAAATTGGGATGAATCACCGCCGCCGCGTGCAGCGCCATCCAAGATTGCGCTCCCGATGAGCGACACGCCGGTGATCAACCGGAACAAGGAGATGCGCATGAAGAATGGTGGGAGTCGACGAAGCAGTTTGAGAATAAGGGGGAGACGGGCGAGTTCTCTCATCGACGGCGGACAATCGGCAATCCCACATCGCGAGGTCAATCCGGCCGATTTCTTCAAGCACATCGAAGCTTCGTTGTTGGAGCCGCGAAGAATAAAGCAGCTTCTGACCTGGTGTGGCGAGCGCTCTCTCTCAGAAAAGCCCCCTCATGGGACGCCTAATGCTCATGCGATTCTCGGCGCTCGTACCATTCAAGATCAGCTACTCAAAGATTTTGCAGCTCGACCAGAGTTCTCGGATTGGTTTAGCAGAGATGACAGTATACCCAAGACACCTGTAATCCCGAAACCAAATCCGAGAAATATTAAGCTCGACGAGAAGCTAGCACAGTTGGAGATCAACATCAAGAGGCTACGAGATGAAAAGAAGGCTTCGCAAGCAATACGTAAACCACCACCTAGACCGCCACTTAAACAACTGCCTCTATTTAATAAGAGCGAAATAGGTTAGATTGTATTTCCAGACTTCAATCTGTTAGATCCAGAAGAAGGGCAGATCAGAGGCTATTTGGCAGATGAGACGACCTCTTTTGAGGCTACTCGATCCCAAACAGAATCACGGCTACGCAACATCCAGTCTTCGCTCAAATTCCAGGTCGATCAGCTCGCCAACAACATACATACGCTCGAACAACGGGTTCTCGTCGCGGGAAAGGAGGCGGGCAGGGTCCTCAGCATCAGCGCCCTCCAGCTCCGCCAGCGGGAGGAGCGTGAAAAGGCCAAGGTGGGGACTCAAGGAATGCCCGTCATGGAGGTGCTCAGGAGTCTGGGCAGCATTCATCCGGAAGGCAGAGGGCGAAGAGAGAATCAAGAACTCAAAGCCAAGGAAGCAACGAAAAGTGAATCGAATGGTTATGCACTGCAAAATTGACAAGACGAGTTCCTTTTTTTCTCTCACTTCACCTTCTCTTCTTGATACCTCCTTCCCTAAGCTTGGGAACCTGGCTAGGCAGTTTATCGGCGGTTTTGTTAAATTGCGCACAGATGCTGAGTGCACTTGATAGAAACGTCTAAATCTGTCAAGACATTCGTAAGCATCGAGCTAATAGTTCTCGTGGCGAAGTGTTGGCAGATTGTGCGACAACCAGAGCGGGAGAGGCAGAACGTTGTCAATAGTGGACTCCTGCAACACCGCCTGGCGTACGTTCATAGCTTGAGGTTCGCTATCCACACCAATGTAGAGAGTAGTTGCCAGTTCATTATCAGCAAGAGGTGCAGCATTTCCGAGGTCGCCAGCTGCGTAAATATGATCCCCGCGCGTCACATATGCCACGCGTCCGAGGACAACTAAGCTGTGTACCTCGCTATTTATCATAAATTGAAAATTTTAGAGAGAGAGCATTTGTGAGAGCACTCACAGTAGGCATAACGGTGGAAGCAGGTCTAGTGTCGCACTGAGCGTGCTTAAACGGTAAAAATGAGATGATGAGTAGCAGCAGCGTGATCATTGATTGTCGTGGAAGGTGAGGGGTACTCCAGCCTGCAAATCTACTTGAAGCGTACAGCTAGATTACTAATATAGTTGTCTCCTGAGGCCGATAGTGCGGTGTCGGGCGTGAACTAATCCCAGGAACGAGCCCATCAACTCCGAAACAACCCAGTAATACTACACTAAAAAGGCGGGCAGCCAATGCTGCGATGATTGATTTTGAGAGGATACCACGTGGGACATGGGAGGGTAGCAAGGATAGATAGACAGTGTGGCCGTCTATATTAGGTATAGGATCTCTTGTTATAAATATTTGCGACGAGGTATTCCTACTATAGGTACCTTATACTAATAGACTTTTGCAATACAGTTAGTATAGATGGGATTTCAACCTTAGCGTCGATCCAGGCCCAGATTTACTTTAAAGTCTGATATAGGGGTAGTATACTCTATAAGGATAGTTAGTGCCTTAATCTATATAAGTAATAGTAGTAGAGTTATATTGTAACGGTCGTGTCTTCTGGTCTGCCGTAGATGTGGTCTAGGGTAGGCAGAAGATTAGTTGCTGGTGGATAAACTGTAGGTTTATATTAGCAGAGCGGTTAGGGCGTCACTTACAGGGTAAATATTATATCTAGTAATAGTTAAGTATAGTGATGCGTAGCGAGTTAAGGTGATTGAGGTAACTAAGCTGTATTGATAGCCGAGTAGCTGTATATAGTGAATGTGCACTACTCAGTCGACTATATAGTTACGGTGGGATGTTAGATTATGAGGATTATCTAGTGATCCTAATAATTCTTATGCCTCTGGATTACTGCGATCATCTAATGATCGAGGTGATCCGCGTGTGATAGGATGGGATAAGTGGGTATGTTATCAGCGTATATGATGGGGTCGGGGCCTAGTCTGATATAGGTCATGACAGTGAGGTTAAAAGGCCGAGAAAATATGAAATCAGTTCAATCCCAAGCCGAATTCCAACAATTATTTTATTTTTATTATTTTTGGTGATTTTTTCCCATGAGGTTGAAAAAGTGGATTTTATATGGGTTTTTTTTTTTTTTTTTTTTTTGCTTACCGCTAGGTGGGTACCAGATGGTCTGGACTTCCAGTCCGAACCCACACAGCCGAAGATATACCGGCTGCAGATAATAATCAGATGACATGTGATTACCACCACCATCTTCAAGTCCAAGGAGGGCTTGCGTCCCTACATGGCCTACATTTATAAACATGATTGGCGGAATAGGACTTATCCCCACCCGCCTCGCAGTCCACCCTTTGCCCTTTGAATCATTTCTTATCCGTTCTGCGGATATTATGCTTGCGCCTTAGATGCTCATCCAATTTGTCACTCCATATTCCACATTTGGGACAATAACCGGGAGCATTGTATTTCTTCGGCACCACAACGGCCTCCCTTGTCGAGACTCCAGACTTCTGCTCACCAGGTTCATAGACAACTCCCGAAGGCTCTTGGACCAGATAATGATGCTCCTTGATGAGATGTTCGTCCATTGAATCATTAGTGAGTTGGACGTCGCAGTCTTGACACTGTGTTACGTCATGCTGTCCCTGAAGATGGTCCTGTACCTGTGCTGGGGGAAAGGCCTGTTTGCAGAACGGACACATCTCCCAATAATATCAGAAACCAAACCATTCTCGTCGAATCTCTCAAGATGAACGCCGATGAACAGCACAATGAACCCCAAGCTTGCCATTTCTTCCTTCCCTTTTGTTTTCGAGAAAATGCGATTCAAAATTGCGCCTTTGTCACAGGATATCCAGTTGACAATACCAATATCGCCATCCATTTTCAGTGGATATTGTGTTAAATGACCTGAGAGATAAGGGATGCGGAAACGGGAGGCATATATAGCTGGCCCTTGATGTCCAAAAGTAGGCCCAAAATGGGACGAATGGCCTAAAGCGAGGCGTTACTTATTTTTCACCGAACTAGGTTGATAGTCAACAGGAAAGGACCAAAATGAGGACGACAAGAATCCAAGAAGTGGGACCGGGATAAGCATGGCCCACTTCCTGGACCCAAAGGGATAGAGATATTAAAAGAAAAATAATTACAGGCTGACTGAATATTCCAGCTGTTAATAAAGCCGTAAATATTTCTTAGTCAGTCAACTTATCATTTAAGAACGCTATTTAGTATTTAGTCCCTAACATAGACATTTCAAACAGGACCCAAACTCTCCTCAACAAGACATTTAAATATCAAGGCTGGTTTAAGCATGCCGCAAGTCTAGGTGCAAACCCTATTTTCCTCGGCTATGATCTTATCAGCTTTTTCAACAGTAACGACTGCCCCATGAATCTTGCCTTGATGTCTATGGAAATCACTGGCGACCTTCACTATTCGGAATTTCTTTCAAGTTGAAGAGCCTTGGCGCTGAGATAAAAGGAGTGGTCTTCGAGATAAAAGGAGTGGTCTTCGAGATAAAGCAGGTCCTTTCGATCAATGTCCAGGATGGTGTCGTGCTCGCCACTGTGTCCAACGTTGGCTTTGGCAAGGTTGATGGGGGAGTTAAGGATGGAATATTCGATCTTGAGCTTGATGGAGTAGACCATTCCCTTGATAGCGGTTTGCAAGTTGTACGGGTTGTTGTACTCGAGGACGAGGACGGCGACGTCGAGGATGATAACAAGAATATTAACCGCAACGAGATGGTATAGCATCCTGGAGGCCTGGGCACCACGGAGAGCTTCTTGCATCTGGAAAGCTTTATAGGTATACCAAATGTATAGGCCCGAAATAATCATCTCCTGGATGAAAAGGGATACTTGGATCGTCTCGTATACCGGGTAGGCGGTGACGTAGGGACCGGGTTCTAGGGCCAGAATAGCCCGGTAGGCGACAATGATCGTAGAGACGTAGCCGATAAAAACATTTGTAATAATAATAGCCAAGACCAGACGGAGGATCCTCTCATCATATAAGATAAGGTGTAGCCGTGAATAAAGAACGAGGGAGTGGCTAGTGACCATGAGAACCCAGCCGATCACAGCGATAGTAACCCATGCCACAGCATTTTTGAGGACGCCAAAGTTCCATATCAGATAACTGATAGTATGGAAAAAGATGCCCCAGGTAGCAAAGAAGAAGCTCCAGAAGTAGAGACCGCTTTTCCGCTCAAATATGAAAAATATGATGACATTGAGCTCAATGGCGTTGTATAGGGCGATGAAGGATACCATCGCAAGACCGATAGGGGCATCGACCGAGGAGTCGTCCACGTAGCCCATGTTGAAGAGCAGATGGAAGACATCTTGAGGAGTGAGCGATGATATATCAAGAAACACGAAAGACGGGCAGCTGAGAGAATAAGAACTTTCAACTTGGCACTGATGAGAACCCCTGGGAGTCAATGCGCTAGAAATGGGCTGAAGGTTAATGGAAAGTATCGACAGGAGTGAAACCAATCGTAGGGCAGAGCTGTCCAAGGGTTCACCTCTATCAGCACCAGCCCCTTGTCATAGAAATCTGCCCCCGACTGTTATCGCGTTTGTCGCACTGGTCGATTCACCTTAGCGGGGATTAGGGATGGAACGCCGCCACACTACAATGGCTCGCGGTGAAGGCAGGTCGCTAGTGGTACAGGCCCGCTTTGCTTAGTGCAGTGGGCCGTGAGTCACGTCATGTCCCTGCAGAACCTTCTGGACTTTGCCAAGCGCCTTGGCATATCATAGTAGAGGGATTTGACAAAGTCTGCCGTGCACCATCTCAAAGGTATCTCTGCTGCTGTAGGATATGTTGTGCCTTTACAAGGTATCGCAGCTGCATCAAACCCTCGATTAAAATTAACATGTTGGGTGAGTGAAACCGAGCTACAACCAAGTAGAGAAGCCAACACGGTCGCCGGAGGAGATTGTTCAGCGCTCAAGCACATCCTTAACAGGCGGCTAGGTCTCAGAGGCGTATCGATGCACAAGGTTGGGTATAGTATGTAGAACAAATAACAGAGGAAGAGGAAGTGTTGATGACAACCGATAGAGGCAATAGCCTGGTTCAGTGAGCCAGTTTGCAGATAATGGTACGCATGGGTCCGTTTGTATGAATTTTGTCGAAATACAAGGAGGGACCAGGGCATCAAGGTTACCTCTGTACGTTCCGGATAACTCTTCCAGGCCTTGCTCTGCGGAGGACAATCTGCCAGGAAATTACCCTAGGGCGTTGAGTCTGCGACCGCCCTAAGCCTTGAAGTGGAGCCTTGGGCGGGGCCCTGAGCCGTGTCACTTTAGGGCTCGAGGATTTTCTAATCAATAAGGTTGGTTGTCCTGCGAGACGTTGTTTTGCGGGAAGACGCCCCGGTCTGCGTCTCATTTTGTATGGCCCACATGGGTTGTTCAGCTAGAACAACTAAAAGCACATGACAGTACGTAAGCATGCGGTGTGTGCACGGAACTTTCCATATGCACGATTTGGTCAGCAAGCGTGTCACTCATACGGCTTTGCAACGGCACTTTCCGAAGTCGCCTACCACGGAAATTACCTGAACATTAAGAATTAGTTCAATTTTGCGACTCGCTTCCAGGCCTCCGGTCTGCGGGGTCTGGCGGGCGGACTACACTCTTCCCATCTATGATTTGACTAGCACTATTATGGAGATGCCGATGATGACCTATCCAAGGGGTAAGGGTTCCGGGTGAAACATCCAGAAAGGATTAAATAGGAGCATTGTCCGGTGCAAAGAACCATTGCCATCGTTGGCAATTGCATGGTCAGCCTAAGGCTCTCCACAGGCAGACACATTAGCTGTCCACTAGTAACGCCTACTTATATATATACGTGACCTATAGTTGGTACTGTCCATCTACATACGTGCTTAGAAAAAGGCATTGTTCGAGTCCCTACGGAGTGGTAGTGCTTAAAATGTGTCGCAAAAGTGCGATTTTTCTGCCCTCGCCGCTAGTTTTGTTATGCACCATCATCGAAGGGCTTGATCACCAACGACGCAATTACATGACCGTTCCCTAGCATCCGTGGTTGTCACTAAGGAATCAGATCAGCATGAGTGACATGCCACGCGACAGGGATAGCTGGAGCAGGGGAACAGAACGGAATTTGCCGTTCATCGATGAGCAGGTCCTCTTGGTTGGCTGTGAAGGATGTTCTTATGCGCGTAGAATACCTGGGGGAACAACGACCCGGAATGAGAAACTTTGAGCGTGCAGGTGAAACAAAGAGTCGTGGCACTAGGCGAGTTAATACATGACTCGCTCTTCTTCCATAGCTGCGGCCGCCTTGCGGCCCGCCGTCGTTCGCCTTGTCACTAACCGGCCTGATATCCCTTCGGTCGAGCGTGCTACAATTCCAGGAAGAAATTAGCAGGACCTATTATGCCATAAGCTCCAGCGGTAAGTGCGATCCCCGTAACGGATCGTCATGCCCTCATGTGATGGGTCATTTAAACAGAATATCTACCCCAACGGCGAGGGTAAAAACAGTCGTCTCAATCAAGACTCTGGGGGCACGAGGGTGAGGCATATGCAGCACATGGTTAATAAGGAGGGGCACAGGCCTGCAATAACACCTATGGCTCCTCACCTTTCAGGGAAAGCTTGGCCTATCCCCTAACGCGAAGGCTCGGCCAGGCATATCTGGGAATGCTGGCATGGGGACAGTGATCTGAACCAAGAGAACACGCTTGAAAATAAATTCCCAGGCGACAAGGTATGCCGGGCTGCGCCACGGATGAGTCCAAGGACCATGACAACCCCAATGGTAATTAAAGCATGCTCCAGGCTTACGCCGTCGATGCCGGGACGTGTAAACCTGGGTATCCCAACGGACTTAGTCAGCTATACGCGGGAACGGGGGAATCCAGGAATTTGGGTGGAGGACTGCCCGATGAAACAAAAATGGTTGACCTTAAAAGGACCAAGTTATGTGTCCCTGTTGGGAACACGTCTGAGCCTAGCTTATATAGTATCCACATCACAGCCACCAGCAGATCGGACCTTCTTAGTCATACGGTCTCAACACTCCCAATCGAGCTGCTGTTGGACTTGATGTGCACGTCTGTCGAGTCTCGTTAAACCCCAAAAACATCTTCGTGAGTGAAAACTAAAGGGAAAGAGCCATCTCAACCCGGGCGCTTGGAAATTATTGACAGGTCCGTGCATGGTAGGTCTCCCACTGGACAGTTCTTTCTCAATCCGGCAAGGCCTATCTTATGCAGCCGATCACACTCGTTCCTTGAGGCCCAATGCTTCCCGAAAGAGTAAGAAACGATCCTTCGGTAAGGCCTTCGTTAGTCCGTCAGCAACCTACTTGCCTGTTAGAATATATTAGAAGTCGACAGTTCTATTATTAACCTTTTCCCTACAGTAATAATATTAGATATTAATATACTTAGTTTTTACATAGAACTGGGGATTTTTTGATATTATAATTATTTCTTAATTATCTTTAAAGATTATAGTTATCTTTAATTTCTAAAGCCTTTTTATATTTTTTTAATAATTCTCAGAGAAATATTTATAGCCAGACTGCTTCCTTTATTATATTTATTTACTATATATACTCTGCTTTATAAAATAATAGAGTAATAATCTTTTATCTCTTCTAGCTCTAGCTGATAGTACCAGTACTAAAGTTAAATATATATCCAGATATTAACTTTCGAGTCTTCAAATCTCCCGCTTAATCCAAGTCTATATATCCCAAAAGGGGTTGCAGCTTTCCTTAATATACTAGTTCCAGATTTTACAATCCTTTAAGGTATCGAAAGATGCATTTAACAGCAGCCTGGTATTCGTTGGTTGGGTTTCCTAGGTGTCGACTGCATAGAGAGACGGCAAATGCAATATCTGGTCTCGTCCCAAGCATGAGATACCATACCCCACCCCCCCTGGGACCCCCCCAACCCCCCCAATGGGACAGCTATTTACATATAAACACCATCAACTTCACTTACACGTTTTAGGCTTAATATTGAAGCTATTCGTATGCCAATTGCGGCATTCGATAGATAATTACATAGTATTTAACTTTTATGTATTGGATTTATAGTCAGACCATGGGGCTGAGATTTAGTCTGTTTGGGATAAGTCCGTGAAACTCGAAAATTTTCCATCTTTATAAACTCTGTCGCTCGAAATATTTGTTGTTTTCACTACTAACGCCAAAATGCGAAGCTATTCAGAAGACTCTGTGCTTAGTACTTATATTGAAGTTAGAGATAACGGTATATCTATATGCCAAGCCTCTGAGAAATATAGGGTACCCAAGAGTATGCTTTTTAATTAACTTAAAGGCGTACCTTTGGTAAGAGAGGCTAACCTGCACCAACAACGACTATCTCCAGTCAGTCCAAGAGATAATATAACAAGGATACCGAGCCTCACGGCCGACACCCTGTCACACACCCATATCCGGTATAAGAAGGGGTTAGCCCTGCCTTACCTTAGTATACTAGAATGCTAACCTAGACACGCAGCCCTCTGCAAAACCCAACCGCGCGGCCTACTTCAACAAGCCCGGGGTCAGCCCTCAGGATTTCGCCGTAGTATCTATATAATCTCAGCCTGCCGACCAGAGACTAAAATAAAATAAGCTTTAGTCTCTATCTTAATTAACTACTATCTTACTCTCGCCTGGCTACTTTATACCTCTTTATTAATCTTATTATAATTCTAAAGCTTCTCTTTTAGCTACCTGAGATTGAAATAGTACTAAAAGGTAAGTAAGCTACTCCTGTTATAGTAGGATTTCCTGAGTTAGTAGTAGAGTAATTAATACTCTTGGGTATCTTAAGTAATAGTAATATACCTACTATTAAAAAACTAATAGAAGAACTTATCCCGATTCTGTCTCTAGCTATTATAACTTAAAGTAAAACCCTAATTATATTAATTAATCCTATTTCTATTAAGGATTAATATATTGCTATAGTTACTTATATTACTTAGCTAGAAGCTCTAGAGGAGCTTAGAGCTTGAGAAGTAAAGCTTATATAATAACTTATAGAAGGACTCCTACTTAAAATCTATATATAATATTACTATAATTTAATAGGATTTATATTAAGTAGTAGGGGAGAAATTAAGATTTAAAATATTATTTAACTAATTCTTTTAATTATCTTTTAAAAAAGAGATAATTAGTTAAGTAACTTATAATATATCTTTACTAGAATATACTATTAGTATTAATAAGATTATAAGAAGATTTTTTTTACTTTAGATAATATAAAGTAAGATAAAAAATTAAGATAGAATAGTTTTTTTAAAGAAAAATTTATAAAAACCTACTAAGATATAATTAAAAGCTAAATAGTATTTAAAGATTAGATTTTTTTTTTATTAAAAATTCAGCTAATTAAAAGCTAATATTAATATACTAGCTAGAATAAGTTTATTAATATAACTATTAATCCTCTTAGAAATTCTATTAATATTTTAACTTTCTAAAGAAATACTTTTTAAAAGCTTATAAAAAGTAAAAGATATTATTCTTCTTTATTAAATTATAATATAACTTATAAGATTATATAACTATATAATATTTTAAAATTCCTAAAATATAAAAAGAAATTATTATTCTAGCTACCTGCTTTTAGAACTCTATATAAAATAAATAAAAATAAAAAAGCAGTAATTTAAAATTAGAAGAAATTTTTAAGAAATATAAAAATAATAGAATTAAGATTCTAATAAAAACAGAGTAATACCTAAAATAGGTATAGAATATTAATCTTCTAATTTTTAAGAAAAGTAACTTAAAGGAAATTAATAGCTAAATATTTATATATTTTAATTATAATAATACTAAATATCTAAAAGATAGATATATATAGCTTTTTAAAGTATAAAGAGTTAATTTAGGAAATAGCTAAAAGTTAGTATAAAAACTCCTATAATATATAATAATTGTGTTTTCTAGTTTATTATAGATATAATCTAGAGTAGGTAGAAGGTAAGTTACTAGTAGATAAATTATAGGTTTATATTAGTAGAGTAGTTAGGGTATTACTTATAGAGTAAATATTATATCTAGTAATAGTTAAGTATAATAATATATAGTAAGTTAAGATAATTAAGGTAACTAAGTTATATTAATAGCTAAGTAGCTACTTATAGTAAATATATACTACTTAGTTATCTATATATTAATATAATTAGATATAATTACCCTTATAGTAATTATAATTACTGGTAATTAAAGGTAATTATAAAGTAATTATTATAATTATAATTATTAATATTTAGTGGTAATTATAAAGTAATTACTAATAGCTAAATTATATTTTATTTTAGGAGGCTAAGAAAAGTAGAATTATATCTTATTTTGATATAAGTTGCAACTAGGCTATAATATAATATCTCCCCTCTAATAAATCTTATTTTAAGATTCTATAGCTTTATTATCTATTTATTAGCTCTATTCTTAATAGGCTTAACTTACTTTTTAATTATTATAAATAAATTAATAGTATATCTAGTTATACTACTTAATATTATACAGCTCTTTTTTATACTATCTAATCTACTAGTTATTATATTATATTATATTTCTTTTATTTTAAGTAGGATTTATTCTATAAAATAATTAAGAAATTATCTTAGTATAGTAAGTATATCTAGTAAGGTTATTTTGTAGTAGTTTAATATTTCTATTAGGGTGTATATATAATTTCTTTCTTACTACTTTAGTAATATAATATACTAATAGTCTTAATAATAAACTAGATAACTATTAAGTTTAAGTACTTAAATAAGAAGAGGAAAAAGTTAAAGAGTAGATACTAGCAGTATAAGCTGCTCTAAATAAAGCTTTGAATTATTTAGTGTATTTTTGTTATTAAAAGTATATATTAAAATTAAAAAGTAATAAAATAGTATATTACAGCCTTTAGTTTATAAATAAGCTTAATAAGTATAAAAAAGAGTAGGATAAGTCTTTTTTTACTATTATTCCCTCTAGGGGTATTCTTACTATAGGCAATTTAAAGTAGGATCTTAATTTTAACAACCTTTAATATCTATTTTTATTAATAAGATTTCTTTAGAAGGTATTATATATAATTAAAGTTCTAGAATCTATTTAATATATATTTCCTAGTATATTTCTTTATTTTAAAAAGTCTTTTAATTTAGCTTATAATATATAAGGTATTTATAAGGTTTTTATATATCTTCTAAGAAATTGCAGTTTTTCTATTTTATAAGATATTTTATTTTATTATTTTTCTTTTTATATTAAGGATTACTTTAACTGTAAATTCTAGTTATTCTTAACTTCTATTTCTTAATTATTATTCTATATCTTAATATAAATAGTATCTACTGCTAATTTAAGTAAAAAATATAAAAGATTAAATAGAGCTTAACTTTAGTAGTAAGTTTAGTTTATAGTTATTTTCTGAGATTTTTTCTAAAATTTATAAGGTCTGATAAATTTAAAGTTTAATTTATTATTCAGCCTTTTTATTATAATGTTTTTTATTATAAGGTAGACTATATCTCCCTTCTAGAAGATTAATCCCTTTAATTTTTTCTAGTTATAGTATTTTTTTATTTATTTTCTAATAAATTCCAGTTCTATTTTTATTTCTTTATATAGTATTATAGCTAGTTAGTATTAAGAATTACCTTAGTATTTAAGAGTTCTTCTTATAATAATCTATAGGTATTAGGGGTAAATTAAAGTTAGTATAAGCTAGTATAAGCTTTATTATTCCTAAGATAGATATATTATAGGCTAGTTATACTATAGGTAGCTTCTAAACCTAATTATTTTACTTATAGTTAATATAGTACTGTAGATATTACTTAACTATTTAATTAAGTCTTTTTATTTATCTATTTACTTATAGTCTCCAAGCTATTATAAGCTTATAATTTAGTTCTATTTAAGCTATTATTCTTATTAGAACTTAGATATAAATATTATTTCTCTATTAGATATAATTTCTTTAGTAATTATATATATAATAATATTTCTTAAAAATATATAAGAAAGTTATTTTATATTAGTAGACTTTAGTAGGTAAGAAGTATATAAACTTTATAAGCCTATTTATAATAATAAATAT